AAGTCAATGGATCACTGACCAAGTCAATAGTTTTTGACCAAAAAATGAGTTAAGGGTGAAACAGAACCTGTTGCCTAGACTGTTTCTGAGCCAACCCTCGGAGTCAACAACGGTTCAAAAACCATGATAAAAACATACCAGCCCCGGCCCAGCCCATGATCAGCCCTATTGTTAATGTTAATTGGCCATTCAAAGTAAAATAACTAACCCTACGTCCTCTCACACCCACACCTATTGACCTCTCAGAAACCTATACATCTTAAAGACCACAAAAGTAGCCACCCACAAGTCCACCACCATAACTTTGGAATTTTGGATATCTCACCTTTTTTTTCTCCCAAACCTAGAAAGCAAAGGAGAGGACATGAGAAGGGCCCTCCACAAGAACCCATCCAAATCACAACCGGGGTTTGTAGTGGAGCGGTCATATCCCAACATCGATCAAACATGTTAATGAATCCATTCCAAGGGTTTACTCTTTTTTTTTTTTAATGTATAATAATTCTGTTGGGTTGAGAGTAAGCAGGTGTGAAGCAGAATAACCACAGCTATGCGTAAGAGGCAAACAGAAAAAGTTATGAAGAGTCCCACTAGAGCCATGTGCGCCTCCTAAACTTGAGCAATGACCGACCGACCAGTACCCTCCCAGCACTCCCCCTTCCTTCATCTTCATGGATGGGGGGGTAGATAGATCATAGATCATTAGACGTAGAAAGTTGTTAGCTTTTCTTTTTGTATCAATTCATTGTTTTCACACACATGCCAACATCAATACAAGGGACTAAGCTAAGAGGCATTATTAATAAGCATTGAGATCCCACATGCGATTGTATAAAGTGTATATGATATGCCCAATGTAGTTGGGGGAGTAAGAGTTGGTATGCATCATGTATGTGGGGTCACTAACTCAATCGTTGTAAATTGTAATCAATCCAAACCGTTCAAATAGTGGACCATCACTCGGATTGCCTGTTGAAGGATTAAAAACTGGGGTGGAGAGAGAAAGAGAGAAATCATTCGATTTGGAGGGTTGGACCATCATCATCATCATCAATCCATCATCATGTTTGAGGTCAAATAATGAACTACAACAACCCATGGATGGATGACTTGGCAAACAAGGTTGACAAAGTCATATATAAGTATATTGAAAGTCAAGAATGAAAGCTTCTTTCCTCCAACAAAGTTAATCATGGCCATAAATGCAAAGACTCCCTCTCTCTCTCTCATCAGACAAGCAAGCGCTCCTGGGCCCTGGCTTCTTAATTCTAAGTGGGCTCTGTAATAAGAGCTGGCATTACTCCAGTACCAAGATTAAAGCCCATCCATTAAGATATTAGAGGTAGAAAACCAACTGGCCGTTTGATAGCAAATTAAGTGGTGGAATTGAATGAATTATTGCTTTATCTTTTAGTAAAATTAAGGAAGCTGTGACCTTCTTAATGGCTGAAGCTGAAGTTGGGTTGATTACCGCACATTCTTTCTTTTTATGAAAAGAACAAGGCGATAAGTCATTCAATTCAGCCACTTGAGCTTGTTATCAGATGGGCCCCAACTGTCCTGTGGGCAACCCCAACAATGAACGACGGTCATCTGAACAGAACTTATGTCTATACAAAATTACAAATGGTGAAGGATCTCCCATGCAAACAAACAGTCAAATATCGCTAACAGTCTGATGGAGCAGATGTTGGAATTAGACTATTATTGAGTTGAATAGCATTGGTGTCTGGTGACCTGTGATGCTTCACCTATGACAAGGATAAGTTCTTACGGATTCAATCCCTAGCCCAGTTTCGCAAACCATTGCCAGCTCAATTTGGGCTATGACCGACCCTTGGCCCAGAATTAATTGCTTTTTCTCGGCTCTAGTCCATTTGCAGAAATGATTTTAGCTCAGTCTTTACCATAGGGCAAAAAGCCCAAAGTTTGGAATTCCCCCAACACACAACCCAAGGAAAGGGGTCATATTCTCAAAACGTCCAACAGTAGGGCTGCAACTCGGGTTGGGTTAGCCCGAACCCAACCCAAAAAAAGGGTTGGGTTGAGCCCAGTTGACAATCAGGTTACGGTTAGGGTTGAGTTTTTCGAACCCGACTTTGAAACATTATTTTTTTTCATTGAGAGATTTTATAAGATTTTAAGATGGGAAAAGGTTGGGTTGTGTTAGGGTTAAGGGATTTTAGATTGGGTTGGGTTGTGTTGAAAGTTGGATTGGGTTGGCCTCAACCTTACCTAACCCGGCCCGACTTGCAAATGTACTCCAACTCCATCTGAATCCAGTCCTTCAATTATTTGAAGATGAACAACCAACGCAAAGCGTTTTTATTCTTTTTTTAATGGTGTTGACAGTGACAAAGAACGAGGTAGATCAAATTCCTGAGACCGAATCAGACCCCAAAACGTCCCACAGCACATTTCCGCTGTGTATTGAGAACATCTCTCATTCTTGGTTTATCATCGGGAGATGTTCCCAATACACAGCGGGGATATGCTGGGCTTCTTCAGTTCCATGTTGTAATGATCTAATAAACTAATCAAGAAAAAGGTTTATTGGACTACAGTATGGAACTTCCCTACAAAATACTGCCATATTTCTGCCATGTGGAGATCTGATGTGGCCATTCCAGTTGTCCACCAAGTAGGGAACCCATTGCCCGTTGGATTGACAGCCTGTGCAACCCTCCAGTACCCATCAGTCCTGTGTAGTGTGTATTGCCTTCTATTAGTAATTTTGTCTGTCTCAAGTTTTAATATTTTAAATTAAATTGGAGTTTTGTCACAGACTCACAGCTACATAACATGGCAGTGGTTGTTGGCCTCAATTTTGTCCCATTAATAGAGCATAGCGTGAGGAACGTTTGGACCCATTTTGGGCCTGGAGTCAAGATCTGCTGCACTTATCCTGTGCTTCCATTCTATCAGTGGCAGGTTTCCTATTAAACATGCATGAGTACCAATGAATATGACTATATGAGAAATACATGTAATGGAGCACCTCACTCACAGACTATTGGGAGTGCCAGATACCTGTCCCTGCATATAGGGAAAGGGTTTTTTTATTATGTTCAAATAGGTCATTCGTGACCTGCCATATTTTTGCCACATGGAGGGATGATGTGGCCAATTTGAGGCATCCACAAGGGATCTGATGGATTGACCAACTGTTCAATTTCTTAGTTGGGGGTGTTCACGGGTCGGTTTGGTTTGGTTACAGGGTATTTGGCCAACTGAGCCGGTTTGGTCGGGTTGGGGAGTTGGCCATGCAAAACTGATTGATCAATAGTGAAAACCGGCCAACTCAGGTTGTAGTAGTTTGGGTCGGTTGATTCAAAAGATTTAAACTTAAACTTTTAAAAATTACAATAATATTATTAAAAAATAAATTTACAATATAAAATATTGTAAATTAGGAAATATGAGAATTTTTCCACTTTTCAATATTAAAAAAATTATATTTAAAATATAAAATATTAATATATATTTATGATCGAATCAGTTCAGTTTTGGTCAGTTTACAAATGGCTAAACTGAAACTGACACAACTTGGTCAGGTTGAGAAATTACTCAACTAAAGTCAACTGAAAATATTAATAAACCAACTATAATGTGCAATCAATTCAGAAAAGGTTGAATTACCAAAAAAAAAATTGAAGTTCAATTTTATTAACTTTAATTGATAAAAAATACAGGAATTTGGATATACCGAGAAAGAAAAACAAGTAAACTATTATCTTTGACACATTAAAGGGCACGTTAATCAAAACATCCTTAATTATGGTGGAGTAAAGTACAAATATTAGAATCGAAAAAATTACAAATACGTACCCTATAATTTGGGGATAGTGATACTTGGGCTATGTTTGATTTGAAGGAAAAGATAGGGAAAGGAAGGGAAAGACAAGGAAACCAATACAAGGGTTGTAAAGATTTTCTTATCTTTTCCTTCAAACCAAACATAGCCTTAGGGCTCAACTTTTAAGTGGGACAACCAAGTACCTTAAACTTTCAAGAAATGAACACTCAAGTTCAGTTGTCAGCATTTCATTAGTTATCTGCATGAGATTTCATATGCACCTTGAAACATTTCAAAATCCCAATACTACCCTTTGCATATTTTATGAGACCATTTCACAAGAGGCTCTTTCAAGTTCTACTAGAGTGACTTTGCTTTTGAATTTGACCATTCTCCCAAATCAGTTCAACAAAAGGAACTTAAAATAGACAATTGAATAATTTTATCATTCACTAACGTAGTTAACGTGCTGGACATGAATGAAGGTTGAGGACCTTTAAGTGTCACTGCCCCCGAGATTACTGGATACTTATCTGTAATTTTCCCATTTGAATTTTCTTACTGCATTGGGCCAAGCATTTGTATTGCATATACCCAAATACAGTAGTATGTAAATTATCTTTTTATTGAGAACTTTGTTCACTGGCTGAGGACAAATTAATTAGTGGGATCATTAGGCTGAGTTTGGAAGGAGTATAAATACAAATATGTAGAGTGCAAAATCTTATATTTTGTATGTATTTACTCTGTAGTACTGCTTCTAAACCTAGCCCTAGGAAATTTCAGAGTAGGTAGAAAGGTCCGTATCAGCAGTTCTGTTTCTTGCCAAAAAAAAAAAAAATCATTAACTCCCCTCAAACTGGACATCCATCAAAAGGCTGTCCGTTTGGCAGTCATGAGTGTTTAAATACTTGGCAAATTACCAGTCAATGAGGCCAGTGAAAGACATGCAATTTCTGCATGTTTTTGTTTTTGTTTTTGGTACAAAAGTTATAACAAAGAAAGAAGGGTGCAAACTGCAAATCGACATTTTTAATAAATACAACAGAATAAATTTTTATGAACTATAAGATCATGGAAAATTATCTAAGTTTTGAATATGAAATTCATCTGTTTTTTGTTGTCCAATGAACTTTGTGTCTTATTATTCATCAAATGCTTTTGAGAAGGTAGAAAACATGGTGGCATGTTTGAGATAAACATGGGATCCAACAGCACAAATAATTCAATGAATTAAGAGAACATGCCATTGAAATACAATAAAAAGATGCTTTTACAGTAGTTGTATAATATTACAAGGCATTGAAAAAATACAATATTATTATACAGGTACCCTAAACAGATACTAACTACTAGTACTACTAGACAACATATCCAGCACCATGATTGGAAGCACTTCATTTAAACTTCAATTGAAAATCGCGGCTTTCATGGTGAGGAGTGAGAGGTGGAAATGATGGAATAGATTGCAGTATCAACTTCCGGCCACTCTTTCGAGTAGGGGACAAACCAAGGTGTGGAGGTGAGACCCTCTTGCAGTTGGGAGAAGAAGTCTTCACACCACTGATGGGTGAGCAATCACCTTTGAGAATCTCGGGAGTGTCATCTTCAGGGACGACTTGGAAATGCTTTTCAAATTTGTGTTGGGAGTGCACAATATCTGACTTTCCAGGCTTTTGACTGGCATTCAGCCCAGGAGATGACCCAATAGCAAGTATTGAAGATCGGGGTGGCTTTCCACTGGAGGAAAATGGCAGTTGTACCGATGACCTAGTGTATAACATAGACTTCAATATTCAATAACACAACAACGACAACATTAAATACAATCAACAATCATTAGAGTATCGAACCTGCATATCTGGAAAGATGGAGTTATAGGCAAGACAGAATCTGAATGTTGCTCTTCTTTTTGAACATCATTATTCTGTACACTTTGATCTACACCATTCTTTTCACAAGTTTCTGTTTCTTCCTCCTCTGGTTCAGCTTCTTCTGTACCTATTGGAGCAGGTCCTGCATTGAAAAAACAATAAATATTTAAGTTAAGAATTAAGATTAACTTAATCCACTAATACAATAAATCGGAAAGCAAAGAAGTTAAAGAACAATTGGCAATCTCATAGACAAACTTTGCATGGATGAAAGAATTCCAAATTTGATAAAGGAAATAAACCAATTGTCTAACGACAGAAAACTACTATCGACAAACTCCAAAATTTGTAAAAACAAGAAGCTGCTGAATATTTTCAGATCTTTATTGACTTGGAAACATCACATAAAGCACTCACCATCCTTTCTACCAAATGCATTCTTACATCCTTCACATCTGCAGTTAATGGAGCATCCAACACCACCCTTTAAAGGCAAACCACCAAGTCTAAATCAGAAACTATAAAACATTGAGAAGCATACAAAATGAGCCACAGAAGCAAAACCTGATAGCATTCACAATATTTCTTTAAGCAACTTGATTTCTTGCAGTTGCATCCTCTTTTATGTCGTGCAGAAGCTGGAGTTTTGTTAGAATCATCCTGCAGGAAGAAGGGGGCAAACACATAATTGTTTAACAGCAATTAAAGATTGTCAGGTGAGTAAAAAAGAACAGTTCAGATTTATTTTCTAACCCCAGTTTCTGAAGTATTCTCAGAGGTCCTAATAACTTTTGGAGCAAATGCTAGGGGGTTGCGAGATTCGATCTGTTTGCGAGTTGCCAGAACAGTATCTTCATGAATGGGCTTGTTAAAACATTCTTGACATGAACAAGGCTCCACACAGTAGACACCAGCAGCAAAGCACTCACAGTAACTACATGAGAAAATTCCATTTGTTAAAAGATGAGCACAGTTTAGTGGGGAATGAAACACAAGTTCCTAGCAAAATCATTTAGGTACAAATAAATAAACAATAATATTGCTGATGCATCATCCAATTCAAACTGGACTTTATCATCCAATAATAAATAAACAATAATATTACATGTGGCAGGATTTTGAACATAAGATCATAGGATCCAAAGAACTTTCCACTTAAACAATGAAGAAAATGCCTATGTATCTCCATCATTAAGCACATAAGAACTGACGTCATCAAGTAACATAATTTTCCTATGTAACAGAAAATATTAAAGAAAGTAAACATAGTTCAAGATGATACAAGTCTAGCAGGCATAAAAGTAAATGCAAATTACATGCAAACGAAGAAGCCTCCATAGAAAGTTGAAATGTATAGTAAGAAATCATAGCAGACAATGTTTCTTTGGTGCTTCAGAAGAGACCTTGTTTGCTATAGTTCCTTTTATTTCCAAAAGGTAACTGAATCATATATTAACATGTCCAAAGACATGCATAAATGAGATGATAAGAGGAAGCACAGAAATTTGCTAAAAGTAAAAGAAGAGAAAAAAAGTACAGCTCCAATCCATCAATCAGAACAATCTAAATTTGCATAGAGTTTTAATGATACAAAAAAACTCCCTTCTCATATCTGATCTAGCTAAGCTATAAGGTTGTGATTGGATTGTATTTGGATCAGATCCAGCTACATCTGCATCCAATCCAATTAGAAAAGCTTCAGATTTAACCCGCATCCACCTTATTGTGGATAGAATGACAAAGATTTGGCTTCACTCTTGAGGTGTCTAAAGAAACAAGGCCTTCAGCTAGAGAGGCCATTGAATAACTGCTTTGAAATCCCTTCTGTTTAATTTCCTTCAATACCCAAGGCAAAGCATACCATTATCTAAGAAAACATATTTCTATCAGCAAATTTCTAGCTTAAAGAAGCCAAAGACATGGGAGGATGTTCTCTGAGCCCATCCAACAGGCAGAAATGACTCATTGTGAAACTTGGCCAAGACTTGAAACTGTACAAATAGCAATGCATCTAAGTACTTGACAATATCAGGTAGACAGCAAGCCATCCAAGATATCAAACTCTCAAATACTAAAGCTATGAGACGTCTCAATTACTTAGAACCATCAGGTATACAAGGAAAATGGTTTGTGCTGAACAATAAGTAAGCAAAGTTACCCCGAATCCTTGAGTTTTTTTTTAACAGCAAACAAAGTAGATGTAAGAAACTTACAGCTTCAAGCATTTTGACTTCTTACAGTTACAGCGCTTGCAGGCATCGCTTTCTCCCACATGTTCTAATCTGCGCCTGCATGATATTAAACCTTGAATTAAAATCCATAATTCGAGGAAAAAGGAGAAAGAGGAAGTTGAGCCTGAGCAAACATCACAGATATCAAGGAGAAAGAGGAAGTTGCACCAAGAAAAGACACATGCCTCTTCTTTTTGGGGCTACTCTGATTAAACTCTTCACTAACTCCAAATGCAGATGCCTGAGAAGCATCTTGCTTGACTTGAACTTCTTTGTCAGATGGACCTCTGTCTCCCTCCATGGAATTCAGAGCAATGGGTTTTAGAGGATTTGAAGAAGGTGGAAAAGAATGAAAAGAGGCAATGGAACTTGGCATGCTTATAAGCTTTCTTCCAGAAGGCAGAGTTTCATGCTTGACAACTCTACAGTCCTTTGATGTAGTTGCCAGTGCATTCAAGTGCAAACCAATACCAGGAAGGATACATGGTGAAGAACCACTTCCAGGCTTAATAGGAACCAGCTGCTTATCATCGGATACATTTTTTCCATCAGATTGAGATGAGATTGAATCACTGCTATTGGAATCATTATCCAGTTTCTTTTTATGAACTCCTGAAATCTCAAAAACTAGACAACGCCTTCGCATACCACGGTGGTGAATAGAGTTGACCTACAGAAACAAGTAAACCACTTAATGCCTTATTATAAAATAAAAAATGTTATTCATAAGCACTTCTTGCATATAATCTAATGATACGAGAAAGATTAAATCAAGGTTTGGAACTGCAAATTAACCTTGCCCTAATTGAACATCACTTAGTTGAAATGGAAAACAAAAAGAATATCAAAGAGGTTCCTGAGGTGGAAATAGTACTAAAAAGGTCAGTCAAATAAATTCCCAAAAACTATTTAAAAAGTGACCTCATAAAATTTTCTACATTACTCCCAAGGTGACCCTAATTATCCATATAATTGTATACAAACATTTTTCACCATGCAACAATTTCACATCAACTTTCATAGGAATCACAACAGGAAGAGACGACTAATTCTGTATTTGCCAATGAAACAAGCAATAGAGGCAGTTAGGTCAAAGAGCTTCTCAAGTGCTGACCAACAATTTAATAGGGCTTAGCTGTTGGCCTACAGGCTACAGAGCCATGTTCCCATCATTGGAAAGGAGAAAAGGGAACAGTCTTCCGTGCTATCTGGTAAATTTATATATTAAATGGTTTCTTATCTTAGTATATCCATTGATGTGGAATCGATAATTCAATATTTCCCCAATTCATGTTACCATTGGTCCATCACTCAATTTCCAGGTGTCACTTGTTTTTTAGTGCAGTCAACAAATTGGACAAGCAAGAATTAACATACCAATTTTCCCTATACTAAAGCAGAAGAAATTCCTTTTATGGAAAAGCTTCAACAGTTAAATCATAATTTGACCTACAAAATACCATGTGTCCTGAACAGACAACACATGAAAACAGTAAGTGATCATTAATGACAGGGAAGAAATCAGCTTTTATACGTGCCCGTCTTTCTATAATATCAAGTGTTTTGACTCCAGAGTTTGAGATCCAGGTTTAAGGGCATTCATTTAAAATGTTCTAAATGTGCTTATGTTAATTTGAGCATTATTAGTTTACCGTAACTATATGGCTGATCAAAAAATACAGTCATTGTAAGATCACTGCAGGCATTTCAGCCTGACCTCTAATTCATTAATTTATAAAGTAATTTCAGTTATTGGAATCTCCTCCTGCTGGTACGTTTTTAGAGACCTCAACTCTTCCAGTAAAAACATTTTGAGGAAAAAAAGAACATGCCAGAAAGAAAATAACTCACAAAAGAAAGTGTACACAATATGATAAATGTCAATATTAGATATATAGTGCTCAAAAAAGAAAACATATCAATCCAAAATCAGAATAATTCATTAACACCAACAATGGACAAATATTTTCCACACAAGTTGGAAAGCCATTACCAAATTGAACCCCTGTAATAACAAATGAAGTTAAGAATGAAGGTAAAAAACAATTGTTGAACACATGCAACATAACTGAAGTGGCATAACCAACCTAGTTGGAACATTTACCTTGCAACCAAATGGAATGATACTTCCTGCTTTGTCATCCATTTTCTCACTTGAATCACCATTTGCTTGCTTATTCAAAATTGTAGTTGAAAGGATATGCAGTGTTTGCTCTGTTTCCTTCTGCTCTACAACTTCTCCCGGTTGAGTTGAAGGATCTTCCATTTCATTTTGTTCATAGGAGCCAACCAGACCAACAGATTCGCTTTTATGCAAATCATTGGTAGTATCTTGTGGAAACTTTGACACAAGAGAAGTTAAGGAATTAGTAACAGGATCCACTAATTTCTGATCATGTCCCTTAGGAACCTCTGTATCAGTGGAAGAATCAAAAATTAATAGATCAGTAGCATCAGATATCAAATTCTCCCAATCACATCCTGGACCCTCTTCTTTGTTTTGATCAGCCTGACATATCTCCTGTAAGTTTGCTTCAGTTTCAAATGAGCATCTTTCTTCTGAGAACTCTTGGACAATTTGAACCAGTGATACTGGTGTTCCAGCAATTTCTGGCACAGGGTTGGTTTTAATACCATGGCAAGGCATTAAGCCATTGTCAGGGCTACCACAATCATACCTCAATGTCCTTGGCAGCTCAATAGCTAGATTTGAATTCTCATCTTGTGGCTCCATAGTGACCCCCCTAATAGGACGCTCTGGAGCAAAACATCCTTGTTGATCAGCTGAGCAATCAGACAAGTCAACATCTTCCAACACGCCTGCACTTGCTCTGCCTCCATTTCTGTTGTCGGGAAACTCAGATTTCAAAGGGTCTGAGAAATTATGCCTGAAGACAAATGGAATAAATTTGTGAAAGAGTAAATCAACAGAACTGGGATACAGAATGGCTTTAATTTGCTTAAATACATCCAGAAGTACTTTTTACCTCCTCAAGAATCTTGATTCCTTCTGAGAACTAATATGTGGTGAAGTAAATACAGATGGAATGGATGCAAAGTTCAGGGAGTTGAATGTGTGGGTAATATGTACAGACTTAACTGGTTTAATGGGAGAAAGGCTGTTGATATAGTTGAAGACAGGAGAATCCTGCACGAAACAGAAGCTTTATTTCAAAACAGCCTTCCAACTTTGGAAAATATGGGAAATCAACAACAGAAAACAAGAAAAGAGAAATGACATAATATGAAAATAAGCAAAGAGGAAAAAAATTACATAGGAAGCTTAAAACAATATGGACAGCCTGCCTGTTAAGGCTTAAGAATTTTAAAGGGTATCATGCAGAAAAAGTAAAGAGGTGGTAAACCAAGTGGTTAGAATAAGGCACAAATGGCACACATGATAATACAAATCATAAAAAAGAAACTTAGAAAATGCAGAGAGTTGTCCTAAGAATGCAAGGAATGTTGAAGATGCTTATCAGAAAGACGTTAAAATATTAATCTGCCTCGCAAAAATCTATCCCAGAGTTTACAGGAGTCAATATGGGACTCAATGGACAACGCTAACATGTTAACGAGCAGAAAACTTAAAAGAGGAACTTCCCCTGCTGGAAAAATGGCATAAAGTTGGCTTGGAACTTAAAGCAGGGTAAAACATATACGAAATTCCACCAAAACTTAAGTTCCAGAAACATAAGAATAAAAGTTGGAAAATTAAAAACAAATCAGTAGAAAACCTCAGTGAAGATGTAGCGGGGACACGGTAAGAACTGAGTAGAGATTAGAGAAACCTCTAATCAAGTACATGCAGTAAACCTTAGAGAGATAAGATAAAAAAGGAAAAGAGGAGACAAAAATGCAATACTGGATCCAAAGGTTTCACAAGCATCAGAGAAAGATGGAGGAGTAAGAAAACCAGACTACAAATAGAGATAATTACAGCAAATTGACATTGAAATAATCTCGTCTTCCGACAAATGAAGAAGGAGACGGTTGGAAAATCAAATACCATAAAGCATATTCGGCATGCATCGCTATGAAGTAGAAGAAAGCACCTCATACTAGGAAGGAAAACCCTAATCCCACTTAAAATCTCCACGGCCTGAACCAACCCGAACGCATTGAAAGAACACGAGAAAAAACAATCAAATCTTCAAAATGCATCACATGAACACATCAAACGCCATGAAAACAGGCACCAGGTAACAGAGATCCGATCGTTATCACAAAAAAGAAATCCAAAAATATCAAAGCTGAATACTTTGACAATTATTTCTTTTTTGGTAAAAAAAAAATACTCTGAAATTAACCAAACTCAAAGACGAAACAATACCGAGGAGCTCAAACAGCTTCATGTCCCAAATCGAAACAAAAGAAAATCCAAAAACCAGTGTAAACCAGTAAGTAGAAAAAGAAATAAAAAACCAGAAGCAAAATTAAGAGCACCAAAAGCCATGGAATCACCTCGAATTTGGAAATTGGAGTGCCGATCTGGTTCCTATCGGGCGTATCCATGGCGAGGGATGCTTGGAGAGCTGGGAGAGCTCTTCCACATCGCTCTGTGGCTCTCACTCTCTTTTCCCTCTCTCTTTCTCGCTCGCTTGCTATTCACTATACAGTGAAGATTCAAGCAGTAGCACAAGGCGGGAAGATGAAGATTTTCTCGTGGTAATAACCCGACCCTACCACCATATTAAAAAAAAAAAAAAAAAAAAACGATTTTTTCTTCAAAGTGGAAAAAGAAAAATCGGTGGTTCTACTTCTACACTTCTTAGTTCTTACTTCTCTCTATCTCTCTCATCATCGTAACTTTTACCGTGAGCTTTGCCACGTTGGGTGCGACTATGTCATCTCATTTCTGAGGACCGTCAGCTTCCCGCATCCCGCTTCTATTCACTTTCTTTTTCATTTTTTAGTGTGCGTGGAACGTTTCTTTCTAACATTAGCTGTAATAATGATAAAATAATTTTATTTTAATTAAGATGACAATCGTGTGTAATTAATAATTATTATTTGCTTCTTTTTTCTGCACCAGCCCAGCCGTTACGACCTTATGACAAACGATGATGATTTGGGGCATTACAGTTACAGGGGTAAATGAGAAATGAGAGGAGTGCTCAAATCATTGGTCATACACTCATACAGCATATTCTGTTTATGTCATTTCTCAGATTGCGTCGTAAAATTTAGGGAGTTTAGAGTTCGGATTTTCTCGTCACAGGATTGTTCAAATCATTGTAGGTAGGGGAGGTGTTAAAAAATCCATGCTCGAACGTGTTGGGACAGTTTTTTGTTGGGAGGAAATCTAGACTCTTCGAAAATTTGTCAAGAGTCCATTTAACAGGGCCATTTTGGTGAGTGAGCTAAGTTGATAGTGAGAATGGGAACTTACCGTATAGGGGTCAATTTTAGGTTTTTGGAACCAGAATTTATTCTATAAATGTCCATTCTGGCCTTAGTAGTAAGGTTGTTCACGGGTCGGGTTGGGTCAGTTTACTGTAGTTTTCCCAACTGACCTGACCTGGTCGGGTTACCTGACATAGAAACTGAAACCGACYCAGTGTTAAGCAAAACCGACTTGGTCGGTTTGAATCGGGTTGGATCGGTTTGGGTCGGTTTTGGTTCTAAGTTCATCCCTATGATAAAATCTTGCTAATTTTAAAAATAGTCATAAATTGAACATCATTTCAGCCATCTCCTATGATAAAATTTAAATGAAAAGTTAATCACAAAAGTTGTTCATTAATCACTATTCACTAATCCAAAGTTTCTTGCAACCATTCAANAATTTAAATGAAAAGTTAATCACAAAAGTTGTTCATTAATCACTATTCACTAATCCAAAGTTTCTTGCAACCATTCAAAAACTAGGTGGCCTAATGGGCTTTGGAACTTCATGTTTGAAATAGGAACTAAGTCGGTTCGGTTCGGGTCAGTTTCGGTTTTCTTGCGTGAAAACCGAAACCGACCCGAATCATCGGTTTAGGAATTTGCACAACCCGAAACCAACCTGTGCTGATGAAAACCCGACCGACTCGGGTTGGGTCGGGTTGGTCGGATTGGGCCTTCTTATGAACAGCCCTACTTAGTAGTTTTATTACTCTTCTTTCGAAGAAAAATTGAAACATGTTCTTTAAAAAACTTGATTTTTTATAATCATAATATGGAGTTTTTACTGTTCAGTCCACCCCTAGGTTGAGTTAGTAGTAGACTAGGGGTAGACTGAATCCAGCCCGTGGATTGTTGTCAAATTTACGGGCAGGATGCAGTTTATAGGGGGGTTACTAGTAGACTAGGAGGGGGCTGCAAATTCGATTTCTGAGGGGGATTGTAGTCCAAAAATCCCTAATATATACTTCAGAACTTATATTATCATTGTTGATTAAATTGAATAATATAATATAGATTATGGTTCAAAACTTATTATTGCATGTAATTTAAATTTTGTAAATATTACATTATATATTATACACATTCAAATATTATATGAAAAAATGATCAAATCACATAAGTATCTCAATGGTCAAGTGAGACCATAGCCTTTGTAATCATGAGTTCTTTGATTCAAATTTTCACATCTTTAAAAGTATTTTAGGATTTATTTCAAGGCATGTTTGGTTTTAAAGCCAGTTCCACCAAGGCCAACCAAGGCTAGTTCATTAGGCAGTTTGGGTGAGGTAAACTCCTACACCCCAAAACTGGCTTGGGTGGGGATTGGTTCCAAGAATTTAGAACCAGACCCTACTTTGTAATAGATAGGGTAAGGTAGGTTCAAGGACAATTCAAAAGGTTGGTTCCATTTGATTCTAGGTAGAACCTATCCATTTGCTCAACCTAGGATAGAATCGTTTTCAAGAAGCTACCTACAATAGATTCATTGGAAATTTAGTTTTTGGGCTCATGTAAGCCTATTTCCAATTTTTCGGATTTGACCAAATAGGACTTTACAAATTTTTAGGTTTCTTAGCTCATACAATGCCAAAAGCCACTACATGAAAGCCCTTTCCAATAAGCACTTAGAGCCCATTTGGAAGGGATTCTACGTTGGTTGAGTTGCGCTAGTGGAGCCACTTTGGAGAAGCTATATATGTGAGATAGCTTCTCCAAAAAGTGGATTATACGGCTTTTATAAGTGTAATTCTAGCTTTTTGAATTTTTAGCAAACACAACTTTATGGTGTTTTTGGTTTCTCATCTCATGGAACATTGGAAGCCACTACTTATGTGTTTGGTATAGCTTTTGTTTATTAAATAAATGGTTGTGCTTGATTTGTCTTCAAAGCCGAGAAAAGTACTTGGTACACCACTTTTTGACAACTAAGTGCCACTAGGCGCCATTAGGCACCACATCAACAGAACAATGAATAAACGTTCAACCGTTGGGGGAAGCGTTAAAATGAAGCTTCCCCCAACGATTGGTGCGCACATAAATCAAGACCAACTTTTGTGAATGCGTATGTTTGGTTCCCCAGGTGTTTTGTGATAGGCATTTTGATAAATGCCACCATGTCATCGTCAAATCAGCATTTTTCTCATCATGTTCATCCGTATGCATAGATATTCACTAAAGTTGGTTTTGATTTATGTGCACACTAACCATTGGGGGAAGCTTCATTTTAACGCTTCCTCCTATGGTTGAGTGTTTATTCATTGTTCTGTTGATGTGGTGCCTAGTGGCACTTAATTGTTAATAAACGGTTTATCAAGTACTTTTCTTGGCTTTGAAGACAAATCATGTACAAATGCTTATTTAATAAACAAAATCTATACCAAATACATACAATATCTATGAGTACGAATGAACATGATGAGAAAATTGCTGATTTGGCGATGACATGACATCGTTTATCAAAACACCTATGGAACCAAACACACACTACATGAAAGCCCTCCCAAGCGAGTACTTATTTTGGTTAAAATAAGTGCCTGCATCTATTGCTAACACAAAATCTAAAATGGGCTATATAACCAATCAGGACTGAACAAACCAGCATTGATTGGTTATTAGCCTATCTTACATGGATGTATTTGTAGCATATTGCAACGTGAAGGATTAGATTAGGTGTAAAAGATCTTTACTCATATAATACAGCTTAGGAATGGCAACAAGGCGGGGTGGGGGATAGGTTTTCCATGGCCCATCCGAATTTTCCTCTCCCCACCTTGGTCCTTCTTACTTTAAGAATTTTCTTGTAGGAGTTGTCGTACTCTTCAATAAGAATGGAGATTCTGGGTTGCAAAGAAGTGAAAAGGTTTAAGAAGAGGCGTTTTAGGACTTGATAGACTTCCGGAGGGAGGAAGTCATGAATTGCAGTTCGGAGGTGGGTTGAGATCTGCCGTTGCAACCAATTGCAACGGCAATGACGGAAAGAGAAAAAAAGGGGGGAAGAGGAAGAAGAAGAGAGAGAGATCACTCGCAACTTCTGGGTCCTCTCCGGCTCTCCCTTCAAATGTGGGTTCAGATCTGCCACTACAACAGCAGCGGCGGTGACGGAAAGAGAAAAATAAAAGGGGGGGGGGAAGAAGAAGAAGAGAGAAGGAGAAGAGAGAGAGAGTGAGCGAGTGAGTGAGAGAGAAGGAGAAGAAGAAGAAGAAGAAGAAGAAGAAGAAGAGATAGAGAGAGAGAGAGTGAGTGATGTAATAAATACATTGAAAATTTTGATGTATTTATATCGATTATCGATGTAATTCAATGGTAACATGTAATTTTACATCGATTATCAGTGTAAAATTACATGTTTACCAAATGCTTGCAAAATCGAACCAGGGTGTAAAGTTTACCCCGCTTCGATTTTACACCTCTTTCAAACGCAGCCTAAAATAAAAATAAAGAAAATGAAGTTTTTTTTGGGTAAATTGTTGAAACTTCTCCTAAAGTTTGGTAATTGCAAGTAGATCCCCTTTGTTTAGGGGTGATCATGGGCCGGGCCGGGCTTTGCACTTATGATAAGGGCTATAGCTTAGGCCCAGGCCCGGGCCGGGCCTGATTCCGTACCAATGTCTTTCATATATAAAACATTACATGTCTATAATATTTTTATATTAAATGACATAACATGCAATATAAACTTTTATTTTATATATTATATAATATAAAATATCACATATAATATAAATTATACATCATATATAAAATATAAAATATAATGTAAAATGACATGTATACATATGTATACATTATACACGAAATGTGTAAGTTTAAATATATGCGGACGGGCTTGAAGTATTAAGCCCAAGCCTAGCCCTAAAATTTGCGGGCTTGATATGGACCCAGGCCCGGGCTGGGTCTGAGCACAAAACCCAGGCCCAAGCCAGTAATTTTCGGGCCGGGCTGAAATGATCACCCCTGCCTTTGTTAGAATCCTCTTAAAAAAGACATGAAAATGTCTAAAATACCCATACCATTAATTTTGACTAAAATGTTTATTTCCAAATTTTATCTTCATATGAATTTCTCCCCAAACCCCCGTCCAATATTGATATATTTTTCAAATTTGCCCTTCATGTCAATCACTCAAACATAAATCTGCAACTTTATTTTTTTATTGTTATTCATAAAGTTTGTTTTTTTTTTTTTTTGTAAAAATAAGCCTCAATAGTAATTGCATGGGCATTTTGAACATTTTCATCCATCCTGTTAGAGGATTCTAACAAAGAGTCTACTTGCAAGTGTGTTAAAAAA